TGCCACGGGTGCGCGGCTGTTCGAGGTGGCTGGCACTGTGAGCGACAGTGCCGAAAAGGCGGACGCATTGGCCGCCAAGATGAGAGAGGTCCTCAACCCTGAGGACGTCCGGGTCTCCAGACCAATGAAAACCGCAGAATTGCGGATTGCTGGCCTGGACGACTCCGTGACATCTGAGGAGGTGGTGGCGGCCGTTGCCAGAAGCGGAGAGTGTCCGCCGGACAAGGTACGGGCCGGCGATATACGCACCGATGCCACTGGACTTGGCGCGGTCTGGGTTCGGTGCCCTGTAGCGGCGGCAAAGAAGGTTGCCGATAGCGGCAGATTGCTGGTAGGCTGGGTGGCGGCAAGGACGAAGCTGCTACAGCCCCGGGCTTTGCAGTGCTTCCGGTGCCTTGAAAAAGGGCACGTCCGGGCGAAGTGCACCGCCGAGGTTGACCGCAGTGACCTTTGTTACCGCTGCGGCCAGCCTGGCCACAAGGCGGCCCTGTGCACCGCGGCGTTCAACTGCAGCCTTTGCTCTGCTGCGGGAAGGCCAGCGGAGCACAGAGTGGGCGGAGGGGCCTGTGGGGCGCCTACCAGCAAGTCCAAGGCCAAAAAAGAAAAGAAGAGGAGCACCAAGCCTGCCGAGTTAACCTCGCTGCCCACACAGGCCAGTAGCTCCGCGGGCGACTCCCGGCCCAGGACCGTTGAGAAGGAAATGGAATGCCAATAATGGCAAAGTTCCATTTTCTCCAGGGCAACATCAACCACTGTGCCAGAGCTCAGGATCTCCCTACTCCAGAGCTTGGCAGAGTGGTCGATTCACGTGGCTGTGGTCGCCGAACCGTACTTCATTCCCGCCCGTGACAACTGGCTGGGATGCGCTGACGGTTTGGTGGCCATTATTGGCGAGACTCTGATCGAACCGTCTCGGGGCCGTGGCTGGGTTGCTGCGGTCTCGGGTGGTATCGTTATTGTGGGGGCGTATTTCTCCCCCAACAAGAGTCTCGCCGACTTTGAGGGTTTCCTTGTCGAGTTGGGCGCCGTCGTAGGCCGCTATCACCCTCGTCCCGTTCTGGTGCTCGGGGATCTCAACGCAAAGTCATCAGCGTGGGGATCTCCGGTCACTGATCCTCGGGGCGAGGTGCTAGAAGAGTGGACAGTGACAACTGGTCTGGTCGTCCTGAATCGGGGTTCGGAATACACGTGCGTGCGGCAGCTGGGCGGGTCGATAGTGGACGTCTCGTTTGCCAGCCCCTCTGTCGCCAGCCGAGTCCGCGACTGGCGTGTCGCCGTAGGGGTGGAGACGTTGTCGGACCATCGGTATATCCGGTTCGACGTCTCTGCCCAGACTGCGAGAGGCCGCCATCCAACTACCCCGATTAACGACGGTCCGCGTTGGGCGCTTAAGCGCATCGACGGGGAACTACTCGAGGAAGCTGCCTTAGTCCAGTCCTGGATCTGGGAGTCGGCAACGGACAGTACCGTCGACGTCGAAGCAGTGGCGCTATGGTTTCGCGGGGCGATGACGCAGATCTGTGACGCGTCCATGCCCCGTGTCCGCCAACGGTCCGCAAGGCACCAGGTGTACTGGTGGACCGCCGAGATCGCGCAATTGCGCATAGCGTGCGTTGCGGCCCGACGCCGGTGCACCCGATACCGGAGACGGCGTCGACGGGATTCCCGCCGAGGAGGACGCGCTGTATGAGGTGTACCGCGCGTCTAAGGAGACTCTGTGGCTGGCCATCGGCGACTCGAAGTCGCGTGCCAGGGAGGAGCTGCTGGGGTCCCTAGATCGGGATCCGTGGGGGCGCCCCTACCGTTGGGTACGGGGCGAAGCTGCGTTCCTGGGCGCCCCCCACTAACGCAAACAATGCAACCCCAGTTGCTAGAGACGGTGATATCAGTTCTCTTCCCTGAACGAGTGGGACACGTTCCCCCGGCGATGGCTTCGCCCTCAGCCACAGACTCTCCAGAGGAGGAGAGCACCGATGTCCCCAAGGTGACGCAAGCAGAGATGAGAGCGGCCATGGCGCGACTTCGGGCCAAGAACACAGCGCCCGGACCCGACGGAGTTCCTGGTCGAGCTCTCGTCCTGGCTCTGAAGGAGCTGGAGCCCCAGCTGAGGGGGCTCTTCACGGCATGTCTCGAGCAGGGTCAGCTTCCCAGTGTGTGGAAGGAGGGAAGGCTGGTCCTACTCAGGAAGGAGGGGCGCCCCGCGGCCTCACCGTCCGCGTACCGGCCCCATAGTGCTGCTCGACGAGGCGGGCAAACTTCTTGAGCGTATCATCGCAGATCGCCTCGTCAGCCACTTGTGCAGAGTGGGGCCAGACCTGGACGAGAACCAGTTTGGTTTTCGTCGCGGGCGCTCCACCATAGACGCTATTACGCGCGTGAGGGCCCTGGCGGAGGAGACAGTATCCCGGGGTGGGGTGGTGCTGGCGGTGTCATTAGACATCTCCAACGCCTTCAACACCCTACCCTGGAGTTGTATTCGGGAGGCGCTTAATTACCATCGCGTGCCTCCCTACCTCCGCCGCACAATAGGGGCCTACCTTGAGGAGAGATGCGTCACGTATTGGGGACGTGACAGCGCTGGTCGACGCGTCATGTCGTGCGGTGTTCCGCAGGGATCGGTCTTGGGACCGCTCCTGTGGAACATCGGCTACGACTGGGTGTTGAAGGTGAGCTCCCGTCGGGCGCTGACTTGACCTGTTATGCGGACGACACGCTCGTCACTGCCCGGGGGAGCTCGCACAGGGAAGCAGCGTTGGTTGCCACGGCTGCGGTTTCACAAGTGGTGAACCGCATCCGGTGCCTGGGCCTGGAGGTGGCCCTTAACAAGTCAGAGGCCATGGTGTTTCATGGCCTTCGACGCGCGCCGCCACCGGGATCGCACATCGTGGTCGGCGGGGCCCGGATAGCTGTCGAGTCCACCATGAAGTACCTGGGATTGGTGCTCGACAGCCGATGGGAATTTGGGCCCCACTTCCGGCGGCTGGCGCCCAAGCTGATGCGTGCAGCTGGCGCACTTTCAACGCTGCTTCCCAACTTGGGGGGGCCCGAGCGCTGCCTGTAGGCGGTTGTACGTGGGAATCGTGCGGTCCATGGCCCTGTATGGGGCCCCTGTATGGGCGATGGACATGACGGCCAGCACTCTCGCCATTCTGCGCAAACCGCAGAGGGCGATGGCCGTCAGAGTCACCCGCGGGTATCGCACGATTTCCTACGAGGCGGCTTGCGTCCTGGCCGGATCCCCGCCCTGGGACCTAGAGGCAAAAGTACTCGCGTCACTATATCGATGGCGCGAGGAAGAGCGGGGACGGGGCTCGAGGCCGGTGCAGCGACAGATCGCGCTGCGCCGAGAGGAGCTCCGTCAGGTCTTGGTGGCGGAATGGCGGCAAAGGCTTCTGCGCCCTACCGCCGGCCTCGCTATCGTCGAGGCGATCCGGCCAGTACTCGACGACTGGCTCGGGAGAAGGCACGGCTCCCTGTCGTTTAGGGTGACGCAGGTGCTGTCGGGGCACGGCTGCTTTGGCAAGTACCTGTGCCGCATAGACAGGGAGCCGGACGCTCGGTGCCACCACTGCGTCCATTGCGGGGAGGACACGGCGCAACACACGCTCGCCGAGTGTGTAGCTTGGGAGGAGCAGCGCCGTGTCCTCACAAATGTAGTAGGAGGCGATTTGTCGCTGTCGGCCTTGGTGCGGAGTATGGTCGGTAGCGCAGAATCGTGGGATGCAGTGGTGTCCTTCTGTGAGGACGTGATGTCGCAGAAGGAAACTGCGGAACGGGAGAGGGAGATCTCGACTCCCTTCCCTGGCCGCAGAAGGCGCACCGGGCGCAGGAGAAGGGCGGACAACGCCCTTTTCCAGCCCCCATGAATAAGTCCAGGGGCGAGGGACTGGGGGAAGCCCCCGCCCCCTATTCGATGGACCCGAGGCGGAGGCACGCGTGGGTGTCGGCGCGTGCCTCTGAGGTGATACAGGGGGTAGTTGAACACCTCACTACCCCGTGCAGGAGACGAGGCCCGTACAGACCGGGCCAGCACTAGTGTGGGGCTGCGGAAGAATTTGGATTCCCGCGGCCCCGCGCGTGCACGTGCGAGGAGACACCGGGGTGGTTTTAGCCGGTAAGAGTCCGGCACACCCCTCCGCCTGTCCCCAGGCGGAGGCAGTCCATGAGGATTTCCCCCCGTAAAAAAAAAAAAAGGTTAGGTTAGGTTAGGTTAGGTTAGGTTAGGTTAGGTTAGGTTAGGTTAGGTTAGGTTAGGTTAGGTTAGGTTAGGTTAGGTTAGGTTAGGTTAGGTTAGGTTAGGTTAGGTTAGGTTAGGTTAGGTTAGGTTAGGTTAGGTTAGGTTAGGTTAGGTTAGGTTAGGTTAGGTTTTTTGTCCCCAGGGCCTTAGGCCTCTTTAGAATTAGGTTAGGTTAGGTTAGGTTAGGTTAGGTTAGGTTAGGTTAGGTTAGGTTAGGTTAGGTTAGGTTAGGTTAGGTTAGGTTAGGTTAGGTTAGGTTAGGTTAGGTTAGGTTAGGTTAGGTTAGGTTAGGTTAGGTTAGGTTAGGTTAGGTTAGGTTAGGTTAGGTTAGGTTAGGTTAGGTTAGGTTAGGTTAGGTTAGGTTAGGTTAGGTTAGGTTAGGTTAGGTTAGGTTAGGTTAGGTTAGGTTAGGTTAGGTTAGGTTAGGTTAGGTTAGGTTAGGTTAGGTTAGGTTAGGTTAGGTTAGGTTAGGTTAGGTTTTTTTTTTTTTTTTTTTTTTTTTGCCAGTCTTGGATACGCCTCCATGACTGGGGTTTTATTTAAACGGAATTGTCCTTCTTGACACAATTGATTTGCCCCCGCTATTGGATACGGGCGACACAAACGTTACATTTTTAAAGAATTATAATTTACAATTGGTTATAATTTATAGTTTTTAGTACATTTTTATACAAAGAAAAGACAACTTAGAAGTAGGATAAATTGAGTTACATAAATCAGAATTATGGTTACAGAAATCAGACTTTACTTATTTTCTTTGCATCTATGTTATGTGTCTGTTGAAGTCCTTAAGTGTTCTTACAATATTTTTAATATGTTTGGTGTATGAAGTGACTGAAGATTCCTTGCTTATTATTTTCTTTATGTTAAATGCGTCGGTAATATTTAGGTTGTTACAGGTAATTATGTGATCATTCCTGGTATTTGAGTATCTTGGACATTCTTCGATTAAGTGCTTGAATGTTTGTTCAGAGTTGTCGTTGCATGGGCATTTATTAGTTGATTTAATTTTAAATCTGTACAGGTACGATAGATTGAATCCATGACCGGTCAAAATTTGCGTAAATTCAAAAGAGGGTTTAAAGGCTTCCCACAGATTTTGTATGGATTCAATATCAGGACATATACTTTTTGTATATTGCCCTTGAACAGAGTCTTTGTAGTATGAATCGGCATTAGTTAAAGTTATTTGTTTGAAGTTGTGTTTCAAGTAGCTTAAAGGAGTGTTGTCGTATTCATATTTACTGTGCGAACTAGCAGCTTGTTTGGCTGTTGAGTCCGCTTCTTCATTACCGGTCAAACCTTTGTGTGCTTTTACCCAAATAAAGTTAATTGTTCCTGTTCCTGCGTTACATATTTGATGTATACATTTGTGTATGGACACTACAAATGGATTTGTACTGTCTTTGTTTTGTATTTCCTTTAAGCCTGAAAGTGAATCCGTAAGTATTGAGAGGTTAATGACGCCTGTTTGAATAGCCCATTTACAGGCTCTTTCTATAGCCAAAAGCTCCGCTTGGAATACAGTACAGCTTGGATGTAGTTTGTACTTCTTGCGTATTTTTATTTTATCATTAATTTGAACTACAAATGCTGCACCTGTGCTACCATCATTATGCTTGCTCCCATCTGTGAATATCTTCGTTGTATGATTATTGTAATTTTTATCAATGTCTTCCTGTGTGGTTGCCATGTTAATTTCAATGGTTTTCCTGTCAGCTGGATGAAGAAGTTGTGATGGTGTCAGTGGTTTCTCTATTACAATATCATCGGGTAACAACTCTGTTTTTCCAGTTAATTTAGATGTTTCTATGTTGGCGACTTCTATTACTTTTAAGTGAAGGGGGGTGAGTAGGGCTAACGAGATTGCAGCAGAGGCGGAAACTGTTTTGAAAGCTCTGATTATCTTGATGGCAAAACCACGCTGCAGTGATATTAGTTTGTCTTTTATTATTTTGAATTTGGTAGCACCGCCCCAAATACCTGCTGCGTACGTGATTATAGGTTCTATTACCTGCATATATATTATTCTTATATTTTCGGAGTTTATACCCCATGTTGGCCTTATATATACACAAAGTTTTTTAAATATATTAAGAGCTTTGTTTGTTATATATTTTGTATGTTCAATAAATTTCAGGTTTCTGTCAATGATAACTCCTAAGAGCTTGATTTCTTTGCAAAACTCCAAAGTTGTGCCAGACATTACAATCTTAGCCATTTTAGCTTTGCCGGTGAACGTTATTAATTGGGTTTTGTTTGGACCAAATCTAAGCTTAGCCTCTTTACCCCATTCAGAGATCGACTCAAGGGCTGAGTTTGCGGCAATTTGAAGTTCACTAACATTTTTGTGTGCGACGATTAGCAAGACATCGTCTGCAAAGGCTTGTAAATAACATCCTTCGGGTAGTGGAGTGTCGAAGAGGTCGTCAAGAATAAGGTTCCAGAATAGGGGCCCACAGACCGAACCCTGAACGCATCCTCTGGTCATAGTTTTATTTACAGTGACGTCGGCGTAATTTAGAGTAACTAAGCGATCTTTAATATAATTAAGTATTAAGTTATATATATTTCTTGGACATTTAATTTGTTTTAATCGTTTAAATAGAATAGGCCACCAAGCATTATCAAACGCCGCTTGTATATCTAATGAAACAGCAATTACCAGTTCCTTTTTACTTTTTGATGTGTTAATAATATCGACTGCGTTTTTGAGTGCGTGGCACGTAGATGACTGTTCTTTAAATCCAAACTGTTTTGGGTTTGTTTTATTGCTTACGCTCATGTGGTATGTTAGTCTTTTACTTAACAATTTCTCAAAAAGTTTGCCGAATACATTTATAAGACCAATAGGGCGATAAGAGGAAGGATCGGAGTAGTCTGATTTATTAAATTTGGGAAGTATGATGGCATGTGCAATTTTCCATTGCTTTGGAAAGTAGGATATTTCAAAACATCGGTTTAGTAGTTTATTTATGGCTGATTTATATATTGTTGTGAATGCTAAGCAAATATCCGCGGTTAGGTGGTCGGTTCCTGGAGCTTTATTCGGACTAATTGTTTTGAGACAGTCAATCACTTCTTCTTCTGTAAAGAAACGATCATCTGAGGTGTTTGGTTCACAATACATACTTTGTCTAAGTAGCTTTTGTTGTTCCGTGTCATCTTCTGTGTCATTAGGATAGAATTTGTTTAGGAGTACATGAGCCGTTTCTTTAGATGTTGTGGTGAAGTTTGTTGGAGTTACTCTAATTGTAGATGGAAGCACAGGTTGTGGAGAATTCTTTAAAAGTCTATTTGTTAACGACCAGACGTCTTCTTTGCCTTGTTTGCTGCAAAATTCCTTAAAATTATCTGTGGATGCTTTCCTAATAGCATCCAAATATTCTTGTTTTAATTGTTTTCTTTCCAGTAAAACACGGTCTAGTGGTTTTCTGCTACGCTTCAGTGTTTGGATTCTGTGATGCATTTTAATTACGCCAAGTTTAAGTGTTTCTAATTCAGAATTCCACCATGGAATATATGTTTTAGCTATTCCCCTATGTTTAAATACTTTGCTGCTGACTTTTTGAATAATATTTGTTATGTCCTTAATATAATTATCTATGTCCTGTACGTCGAAAAGTTCTATGTTTTTAGTTGTTAAATGTTCTTTTTCCATTGCCATTTTTATCTGATTACAAAATGTGGACCAATCAGCATTTTTAGTGTTGTATCTGTAAGTCGTATATTTCTTTTTTTCGATGTAACGTGTCATTATTAAGTTTTAAACGGAAGTCTATAGCATTATGTTCCGATGAGGGGCATGCATTCATATTTACCTGCCAACCATCTATTTTATTTGATATATTTGCTGACGCCATTGTCAAATCTATAAAGGAACTACGGCTTGTCCCATGGGTCACTGTCTCAAAAGTTGGTAATTTTCCGTCATTGAAGACTACGAGATCATTTGACATAATTATATCGTGTACGTTACGACCTCTTTTATTAGAAATATTGGAGCCCCAAGCAGTATGCCATCCATTAAAATCACCTCCAATTATGATATGCTTGTTGGCGTGACCCTTAAGAAAAAGTTCCAAGTGATTAAGTGTGTTGTTCATATCATTAGTAGGTTCTACGTAAACGCTGACGAGGAATAACTGATATTTAGTATTAAGAAGCTGCACTACACACATGTTAGCTGTTGAGAATTCGCGTATACCTAAAATTGAACCAAGGCTCGCCCTGACGATGATGCATGCTTTTACACGTTCATTGTTTGTAAATTGATATATGTCATATCCCTGAATATTTTTAACGATATTGAGATTGCCTACGTAAGGTTCAGATATGAGCCCTATATCATAGTCGTTGTTTATAAAATAATTAATAAATTCATGGTGGCTAACATAACTTTTGTCAACGTTAATTTGAATTATTTTAAGTGTTTCTGAATTGGGTGGATGCGATTTTTGCTCGTTAGAGGTAGGTAAAGGTAAAGGCGTAGTATGTCTATTGTCCATAATCAGTCTGTTCGTCAATTTTATTTTTAAGAGTTTTAATTCGAAGGCACAGTTTAGCGTTTGTCGCTATATGATTTGTATCGACTTTGCTATTGCTCTTAATGTTAAAGTTGTGACAATTGAAACACTTCCGTTTATTTTCTGTTTCCTTAAAGGGACAAGAAGTGATGTTATGTTCTTCAGAAGCACAGTGTGCACAGCGGTTGGTTTCTGAAGTGCACTTATTTTTCGTGTGGCCGAACAGTAAACACTTATAGCACTGTACGAATCGGGAATACGGCTCTATGTGAACTCGCTGGTGGTCAATCGCAATGCGTCCAATAAGAATAACACTCTTGTATAATTCCGGTTTCACTTCGAAAACAGCGTTGTATAGGTTTTCGTTTCTATTTGAAGTAGCAAAGCAGAGACGAATGTTGCCTTTGGGTAGAGAGTTTTGATGTTCAATTATATCAATTAACTCGTTCTTTTCTATGTATTTCGATATGCCCTTGAGTATAACTAATGGTGGACGTCTTTTACTTTCTTCTGCTTGCAATCCTTCTACTTTATTGATGCGTGCTATAGTTTCTTGACACTGTGACTTGGTATCAAATTCTATTCTTACTTTCCCGTTAAATCCCGTTTGTACCTTAGCTGGTGCGTAAGTTTCCTTCTTGAAGGATACACTTTTCCTCCACTTATTTAGTACTTCTTGTGGCTTAGTGTTGGGATCTGTCGATTGTATTATTATCGATGGCTTATATGTTTTGGATGCGACAACGTTAGCATAAGTTGCTTTTACGGGCAAAACAGAAGGTGCTAATACAGTTTTTAATTGTTCTATTTCTTTGCGAACACTTGTTACAATTTCGCTTTTAAATGTTTCGTCTAGAGCAGGCGTTTCTACTGACTTCAAGATGGCAAGTGTAGAGGTACATCTACGTATTTCCTCTGCTGCTAATACTACTAATTTTTTTTTTTTGTTGACGGCAGTGACGCTTTTTTTTCCCTCGTTAATAGCGTTTGAAATACAGTTGCTAAGTTTATTTACAGTATCAATGTATGAATCTATATCTTTAACGTTGGCAGCACTGGCTGGCAGAAGACTATCTGATTCTATAGGTGCCATAGCTTTACAATACACTATCAGTTTCCATATATTTCAAATTACAAAGGTTAGGTTAGGTTAGGTTAGGTTAGGTTAGGTTAGGTTAGGTTAGGTTAGGTTAGGTTAGGTTAGGTTAGGTTAGGTTCCCGTGTGGAGTTGCCAGTCCTCCCCATCGGGCGCGTCCCCAGGTGGCGGATAGGGGGAATGCCACTCAGATATGAGTGGTAGCGGGAAACCGTCGCGGACCAAAACTGGCTGGGTTTGGGGCGTACCTCTGGTTCCGAATGGAATCAAGTACCTGCTAGTTGCTTCCCGTATCCTCTCCACTGAGAGGAACAGAGGATGTGACATGCGCGGTGAGATGCCAGGTGCACTCGGCTTTTGCCGACGCCGGGCAACCCGTCATCGCGGGAATAGAATGGGCTCAGAGTTCCCTCACCCGGTCTCTGGGCAGGCATGGGAAGAACCCGTATCGACTCTGCCACTGTTCGAACCTCGGAATCCCTTTGGCGTGTCGTGGATCATGTCTCGCGGCGCCTGAGGGGCCGAGGGCTCTTGGCTTAACCGCCTGGAGTCGCGAGGATGATAACCTCTATAAGAAAATCACCCGAAGCTCAAGCGTGGCACGCCGTGAGGAGCTGCATGGCTGATGGGTAAATGTTCAGTCGTTAGCGTTGCCCCCCGTCGGGTACCGGCCGACACCCTTGACGGGTTATGCATAGGCTTATCCGGGCAAGGGGCTCTGCTCGGACGGACCGTTACTTCCTCCACACTCGTGGGAAAAAAAATGAATAAAACTTTAAAAAATGTAGACGTAGGAAAAAAGGATGAATCAGACGTGGACAGATCGCGTGGGACGTCTTCCGCCAGGAAACGTCCAGTGTGCCGGTCTTCGGACGAGGAAGGCCTGCCAGCCCCCAAGTTGGCGACTTCGAGGAGGGGTCGGCAGGCATCGAGAGGGGGTAAATGCTTCGCAGCCGCGAAGGGATAAGCACGGACGATTCGTGTGCTCCAATACCTCGGCGGCTAGTGAAGCAGAGAGTGACATGGGGGTCACTACGGAGGACCCCGGCGATGGCGGCGAAAGCTGTGCCTCGCTGGGGGAGTTCAAAGGGGGAGCTCAACGCCGCCAAGAGGGGAACAGCGCAAAGCCGTCGCAGCAGACGAAGTGTCTGAAATGGCCCGACGTGCTCGCGAACGACGAGCTGCTCTGGCGGCGGAAAAAGGAGAGCCATCTGCGGTGGCCTTGAGCCAGCTGGCTCTGGATGGTGTGGACTTAGTCCTGAAGGTTGCCACCAAGTCTGGCAGCCTGAAGGGCACGTTCACCCGTGGCTTAAAAAGAGGCTGCCGCGGACATCAGGGAGGCGGTTGGCATTCTCCTCAACAGGACGGCCTCTGACGAGGTCGCCAAACTACAGGAGGAAAATAGCCGCCTCAGAAATGATCTAGAGGACCTCCGGCAGCAAGTCGCGGCACTGAGCGAGCAGCAGCAGAGATGCACATCCACCGATGCCGCATCTGCAGTGGCCCCGACTCCCGCACCGCGACCGACAAGCCCTCGTACCGACGAAGAGGTCGAGCGCATTGTCCGGCTCTGCATGCTCCAGTGCGGGAGCATGGTTAACGCTCGGCTGGAGGCGATTTCTCGGCGTCTCCCGGCGGAAACCCTACGTCCGCCTCTGGCAGCTGACACGCGGAGAACTGAGGAGCCGCCGAGACTTGCGCCTCAAAGGGGAAGCCCTGGAGGGTAAAATAAAGCCCGCGGAGGGAGCTCCTCCGAGCGACCAGCCCACGACAGCCGGGTCTAAGGGTGAGACATGGGCGAAAGTCGTGGGCCGCAAGAAGGCCCGCAAAGCCGCCAAGAAGGCCGCAGCAGCTGCACATGCCCCAGGTGGAACCGCAAAGACGGCTCCTCAACCTGAGCGTCGGACTGCCAAAGGCGGTCGCAAGAAATCGGCTGTACGTGTTCCGCGGTCCAATGCGGTGACAATAACATTGCAGCCCGGAGCTGTGGAGCGTGGCGTGACGTACCAGTCGGTCATCGCTGAGGCCAAGGCCAAGATTAAATTATCAGATCTTGGCCTTCAGTCCGTCACCCTCAGGCAGGCTGCCACGGGTGCGCGGCTGTTCGAGGTGGCTGGCACTGTGAGCGACAGTGCCGAAAAGGCGGACGCATTGGCCGCCAAGATGAGAGAGGTCCTCAACCCTGAGGACGTCCGGGTCTCCAGACCAATGAAAACCGCAGAATTGCGGATTGCTGGCCTGGACGACTCCGTGACATCTGAGGAGGTGGTGGCGGCCGTTGCCAGAAGCGGAGAGTGTCCGCCGGACAAGGTGCGGGCCGGCGATATACGCACCGATGCCACCGGACTTGGCGCGGTCTGGGTTCGGTGCCCTGTAGCGGCGGCAAAGAAGGTTGCCGATAGCGGCAGATTGCTGGTAGGCTGGGTGGC